GCCCAGAGAGGTGGTGGATGCCCCATCCCTGGAAACATTCAAGGTCAGGTTGGACGGGGCTCTGAGCAACCTGATCTAGTTGAAGATGTCCCTGCCCATGGCAGGGGGATTGGACTAGATGACCCTTAGGGGTCCCTTCCAACCCAAACAATTCTATGATTCTGTGGTTAAATTACTTGCCACTGCTATGAAAATTTGTTGACAGAAACAGTGTTGAGCTGGTATTTCTTAGGCATATTTGCAAGATGATGGGATTATAAAATGTAAGCAATGGCCTACCTTTGCTAAATTAATGACACATGAAGAAAGAACTGTGTATCCCAGAGCTGCTTTGTAATATAACTATTGTAATATAAATGGAAATAAATTCAGGTACAAGACCATGTTACAAATATATATCACCTCTTTCATTGCCTTCTAATACTTTTGTTGTAAACATGAACCTTCACAAGGGGGTATATAAAGTCACTTATCTGACTCCAGCTTTGCTTTAATGTGGTCTCAACGACCTGGAAGGCAGGACCTTAGACTGTAACAGCAAACTCCTCCATTCTGGGCAAAAGACAGGTCTGCGAGCCCTGTTGTGAACTCTGCCGTGTTTCAAGTGCAATAGTCTTCTCATGCCTCAAAATATTTGACATCAGCCATACTCAGCCTTTCTGAGGAAATAGGCCAAAGGGTCTCCTTGGAAGGAGCTGATTGCTATACATACCTCCGTCAGTATTGACCTAACACAAATGCATGCGCTTGTTGCATGCCTAGTTGTGCATCCATCTTGTCATGGCTCCTTGGGAAGGGGGTGGCTCTGAGTAGTCTGCAAACTGCTAGAGCAAGTCATCAGCTTTATCAGCTGCTGCCAGATGACAGCACTTTTGGGAAAGAGGGCATCAGAGAGTGAGTCACAGGCTTAATGAAGCGGTCTGGGAGGTCACCTTCCTCTTCGATATATTTGAAATGAAAAGAGTGATTGGTCAAATAAGTTAAAGTCAAGGGAAATCCTCTCTGCAATCACTATCCCAACCACTAGTTGTTATAAATGTCTTTGGCACTAATTTTGAAAATTGTTGATCTTCTAAAAGTTGCAAGTAGCAGCAGCAAGTGGCCAGTACAGTATCACCCATAATGACACTGCTGTTGTCACCGTTAGCGTTGTGGGTCAGGTGGAGAACAGGTAAGGCAGAGGAATGATGAAGAGGAAAGTTCATGCTTGTGAAGATACATTGAACAGGAGGCTGTGCTTCTGGGAGTGGAAACGTGAGGCTGTGCCACACGCACGACTTGCTGTGGCAGATCTCCTTCAGTAGCCTTCACTGAAGACAGTACTCCAGCCAGCATGAGCACACTGTATAATAACGTTTCACTTCCCTCATGAGCTATAGCATCTCCCCCCCACAGTCTTCCTTTGGCTTCTCTTCATCCGCATGCCCTAACGCTCAGCAGCTGGCCGCTATGGCCTCGCACGGTCAGAAGCCCTCCTCCCTGTGAGCACGGCTGCCTGCACGCAGGAACGCTACGCCGAGACCCCGAGGCAGCTGCTGTGCGAGTTCGCTCCCAACCCGGCAGCGATACAGTTGTGTTGGTGTGCCATTCACCTCCCCCAGTTAGTCCCTCCGAGGTGAGTTCTTCGTAATTACGTCTCCATAATTATTTCTTTCTCCGGTGTGGCAGCAGGGAGGCACACGCTGCCCCAAACACCACGGGAGGTGTTGTGCGTTACCTTCTGCCACCATATGCCTGGCGCCTGTGAAAAGCCCAGAACGACAGGGAGAGGGAGGGCAGGAAAAGGACCCAAAGGTGTGTTCCTTCAACACCTCCTGCTTGACACTTGAGCCCTGGTTTTACGATGGTCAAGTGTCACAGGGGACCAAGTTACAGGGTGAATCAAACTCTATATTTAGGAAGAACAACTGGAAGCTATGACAGGAATTCCCTCTTACACTTTGCATCTCAGCCGAGTCCCACTCCAGCCTGAAGCAGCTCTCAGTGCCGTCCGGGCTGAAAGCATCGGAGCTATTTCAGACACATTAAAAGGATCACAGTCAATACCTCAGCTGGTAGAAGAAGGTACCTCTTTCAGCATCGAAAGGAGGTGCACATACTCACTTGACGGTTTGGAACTTTTCTTATATAAGTAAATAAGTAAGCTAATCTTGAAGGGGTCAGTTAAAAACTTGAAAGACCCTTATGAAAACTCTTTAATAATAATAATGACTCTTTAAGTCACTGCGAGGTGACTGCAATAGTTGTGGGTTTCTGCTTATTTTTATGTCTTGTGCAGCGTATCAGCATATTCAGAGCAGACTGTTATTGCTTCATAGTCTATGGGGATCTTTAAAGATTTAAACCAGTCACTTAAATGCCTAGTGACTCATAAGAAGCCTAACTGTGTATTAGCTCGAATACTGTAGTACATAGGTACATGCTTACTGTTTTCTATATACTTGTTATAGCTTTACATTTATTTACAATTATTACATGGGGGTTTCGACGGTAAGAGCGGTGTTCTTTCACCATAAGCTTAACAGGTAACTGTAGTGGAGACAACTGCATTACAGAAAATGTTACCGCATTTGCCTAGAGCATGTAGTAAGTTTTTGTGTAACGGACTGGAAGCTGCAAAGTGGGGGTTTCTCTTCTGTCTTTGTACTAGCTGGGTCTCACAGTAGTGTAGTTCCTGTCAAAGCCTTTTAATAAGGTAATACACTGCAGTTCTGTGTCCAAAATACCCATTGTGCTTGATGCCGTGAGTGTGGCGGGGGGGAAGGACAGCTTCCAGCTGGGGTGGGGGGAGGGCTCTTTCTGTTTTCTGTGTGCTACTGTACATCTCTTGTGCGGATTACAAAAGATGGCATTATGATACCTTATCGTATTTAAAGCAAATTGAATAAGTCAGCTTATTATCTTGCTGCAGCCCGGTCAGAAATTATTTTTAGCAGAGGGACAGAAGATAGGTCCTTTGTTTTACAAAGGTTCTTTTCAAAACACTGATTTACTTCACTGTATTTCACAAGTAGTCCTGTTCACAAGTGCTTTCACTGCGAAACAAGGGAATTTGCAGGGGAAGTCTGGCATAAAACAGCTCCAAACTGAACTAACGTTGCCATTGCTTTCTAAGTTTGGCTCAGCATGCAGCCCATAAAAGGTAAAAGGTAAGGTGTAGGGAGGCCAAAGAGACACTGGGGAATACAGGCTGCATGCGTCTGCTTTCGCTGGGTGCCTACATGTGAAATCTGTGGTGGAAATGAGGGTGAAGAGTGATTTTTTCAAGTTTGCAGAGCTGATTGGAATGCCAGAAATAACTTAATACAATCAGTGCAGCATTCTTGACTCTCTCTCCGAGACGCATGGCTAAAGAACAAAGGAATTTATAAAAATGAACTAATCACTTCAGTAATCGATGCCTCTGTAATGTAAGGTTTATTTTCCTGTGGCTGATGGTCAGTATTGCTCTGGAGGGAAACTCAGGGAAGGGAGGGAAGGGGAGAGAGCCAGAGAAGACTGTCTATTTTTACTCAGTAGCATGCTGTTGTCCTGATTTCTCTGGCAGTAATGAGGACAGCACGAACTGGTAGGAAAATCACCTCCTCCAAAAGCACTCCTACACAATTGTATCATGCACCCATCTTTAGGAACCGGTGTCTGATTGCAATAATTTTGAACGCAGACTTCTTGTGAACCCAGAGCACCTCACTGAGGAGCACTATTGCTGTGCTTGTTTTAAAGTCGAGATTCAGTGTAAATCCTTGCCCGTTTAGCTCTAGGTGGCCCAAGAAGTGTGTATCGGTGTTTTTTGCAATGCACAGGCATGCAAGATGGAGAAGTACATCTTAGCTTGAATTTCTTTGTGACAGTGTTTAGAAAGTAGATCCACCGTGTTTTAAAATGTTTTCTGTTAATTTCTGGTGCTTTTGTTTCCATTTTTCATTCTGAATAGAAAGAGGAGAAGATGATAAGAAAAATTAATTGAACTTTTGTGTGTTATGAGTCCTATCTTTCCAATAAACTGGGGAATTGTTTTGTATTTATCTTTGGAATTCAACCGCTGGATAACAGCACAGTTATTTCTATGCGTAGTAAAGATTTTCAAAAAGGAAAGAGAGAGAGTGCAGTAAATCCTTTTGGCTTTTTGAAATCTGTGCAAATTTTGTCATGAACTTCAGTGGCCGAGATTTCATCCCCCAAAGCAAATTCTGAAGTATTTAAAACTACCTCTGATTTTAAGATTGTAAATGTAAATGTAAAACCACGATATAAAACTCACTGGAAGCAAGCTGGATTTATTTTGCACGACGGGATTTTTTTCTGATTTATTGATTTAATGGAAGCAACTTAAGCCCGAAGCAACCTATGAAGATGATGTCCTCTGGCTTAAGGCTATGTGTTGGTTTGGACAGCACTCTTTACAGCTGAGAGTGCAATCAGAGGGAGACCTCTAATGGCAGGTCATTTTTACTTTAAGTTCTGCTCAGCATTATACACAGATTTAAAGCCGATGTGAGAACATGCAAGAGCAAGTCTTCCGTGCAGCTCCGGTGATACAATGTCAGACTGATATTCCAGGCTGAAGCCAACCTACAACTCATCTACGCTTTCCTTTGGTACCGCCTCCGTGGGACAGTTACACTCTTTGGAGCACCAAAGTCTTTGACCCACTTTTGATTTCTCAGTATATTTCTACTATTCTCTCCTACATCATTTATTACTTTTCTCAATACTTTCTTTCTCATCTCAGGTTAAATATTGTAGCCAAAATATGCTGTAGTTTGTTTGTGATCAATGAGTTCTCTGGTGAACTCATTTCTCACCTTTTAGTATTACTATCTTATTTTGCATTATAATGAGATAGGTTAAATAACCAGACTTTGATGAAAGTCTAGTCCAGTTAAAATCTTAATTCTCAGTGAAAGAATAAAAGGCCGAGACAATGTTTCAATTAATCTGATGATAGTAAAATTTCCTTCTTGCTGCTTTTTTTTTTTTTACCTTTACAGAATCTTTTGACTTTGGTGTATTTCCCTTTGTTATTGTGTATTAATACTGTAGCAATCCACATTTCTATGCCTGCATAAAATTATATGGAAACTTCTGTTCTTTTTTATCTTATTGCTAAAGAAAATCAATGCATCTATATGATCTAAAATTTTGAAGAGAGGCTACTTTGTGCCCTAGCAATTGCCAAACAGAACTTTACAGTTTGACCATCTTGATCATTTTCAGTCTATAGGCATTAAAGATTTGCAAGGATTTGTGAGTCGAAAATGGTTATGTCTGCATTTATCAATGTTTTGTAGCAAGTTATGCTTTATTTGAAAGAAGGTTTAAACTGAGAGTTCTAATAATTCCCACGTACATACTGTGACAGAAATAATCATGCATTGAAATGCTTCCCTTAATTCTTACTCATTTTACAATGCCATTAAGGTTTGAGAGATTCCTTATCTCTACTCATTATTGTTTTTAATGTGAAAGGGATAGCTCCATTTGTGGCTATGAAAGATTAATTGGAGAAGCTCAGGTGTTCTGTCTCCTTCTGATATTCAGAAGGAATAACTAAGCAACTCTGAAACTGAGACGGAAACAGGAGCTGGGCAGATGAAATGGATGCCTGTCAAGAGGCAGCACGGGTTAAGTTCTAGCTTATCTCCCCTAGCTATCGGAATGTCAGAGCCTGTAACACTTTCCCATTTTGCTTGCAGGGATAAGCCTCTGTCTTAAAAATGTCAAAACAGCCAGCGTCACATGTCAAAGCCATTCAGGTAAGAGAAAGTATTTATGTTTCTAATATAATAAAATAATAAATCTCAATCTCCAGTGCTTGGCAAACTGCATTTTGCTCATACAAAACACTGCAGAAGTGCTAACTGGGGATTATTCTTTTAAAGTGAAAAGCTTGGTAGATATGAAAGCACTGAAAAAGTTTGACCTGAAGAGCATCTTACGATCTGAGCTGCTAAAAAAATGGATCAGATAGGTTGGTTGATGGCTTGTTTGCATGGTCTTTCCAGTGTTAGGTTATGTCTGTTGGTGGATCAGCTAAGCAAAACATGGTGAATTAGAATTTTCACAGAGTTAATATAATGCTGGAAGAATTATAAAGGCTAAAAAGATAGCATAGGTATTGTGAAGTTTTTCATGGCTGCATTCCTTTAGGAAAAAATCCCACAACTTCCAATATTAGTTTAAGAAGCATTTTATTTAAAAGCCAAAGTAAAATGAGAGAAATGTTGATGTTTTCATTAAAAACATTCATGTATGTCACATATCTCCTCAAATGGCAGATGCTTACAAGGATGAAGTTGGTTGTTGCATACTTGTAAAAGAAACAGTTGGAGAATTATCCCAACATCAACATGAAGTAGCATCATGAAGACTGTATTTAGCTCATGCTATCATTGATTCTTGTCAAAAGGCCCAAATACCTCCTGAGCTCCAGAATTTTACAGAATTTTCCTGGATTTTGTAAAATGCACATGCAATCAAATTTTCCCGTGAGTTCAGATTCCCTTAAAATTACGTAAGAAACACAAACCAGAATTTCTAAAGTCTGATCTACCCTCTGTTTCCCCAAGATAATACTAACTCAATGGATTGGATTATCAGGAAGATTAATTACCCAGTGGCTAGATAGCTACTGAAGTTGCAAGGCACTGTAAAAATGCTAATTCTCTTTCTCATCATCAACTCCACTGGAACAGGCATGCAAACTACTGTACTCTAATTCAGCTGAAATTAGCAGAAGCTTGCCACTGATTTCACTCAGTTCAAATTTTCATCCCTCTTTTACCGTGACTATGGAAATATTTGTATGATTAATGAAAAAATGTAGATAATTTATAGCTCAAAAGTGTTTACATTTTACATTTAAACTCCATAGGCACATACAAACATTTTCAAGGCATTAAGTTGGCTTACTGTTTTCCTTAATGCAAAGAAGTAGTTATAGACTCCTTTTTAGTTTAATGATGACTTTCCAACTTCTAAATGTAAAAAAATTCTTCTAGTTTATCCATTGAAAAAGTGCATTAAGTTTAAGCACCAAATTTAATATTTTAAGAAACTTTAATTTTTGCAAAGGTAATTTGAATCATGAGAAAAAGTACAGCACAAACTTTAAAATAAATCTATTAAACATGTTGTCAATGGTTGCTCCAGCAGGGAGACTCGCACTTGAATTGATGCCTATTACACTTTGAGCACTCTAAGAACCATGACTCAAAACGTCACATTACTTTTATACATTGTGATTCATATATTATGATCCTTTGCTATTATGTGCTATTATAGTAGGACCGACATCACCTTGAGAATATACATCGTGCTGCAGTGGTGGAAATGTAATGACACTTTACTAACTGAAGTATTTCGTGGTACTCTTGTGTCAGAAGCGTCTTCTTTCCGTCTGTATGAGATGTATGCTAAAATCTTCACTTGTCAACAGCCACTAAATACAGATGTGGGAGAGTTAAAGATAGCAACTGGTTCCCAAGAGTAGTTTGGTGTGACAAAGGACCAAAGTACTGTTAATTCCTCCTAACAGTCTGGAGGCTGGTCTCCCCCTCCCAGTGTGTAGAAGGCTGTGTATAGCTCTGGCTGACAATTATTCTACCTACAAACACCACTCTTGGCTTGCCCCAGAAGTAACTGAGGAGGTGAGGGAGTTCCTATTTTTTTTATGAATTACATTCAGCTTTCTCTGTAGTTCCTTTTTTTTTTTTTAACTTGAATATATTTATACTGAAGTGGCTTTCCAGCTTACTCAGTCATCCTCCTGGACAGCTAGGAATGGGTGTGCTGCTGTGGAGAACTTACCCGTAACGGTCCTCAACTCATGCAAGGCTGCCGGTAATTCAAGACCCAACAGTTCCTGATCTGGATGCCCTGTCTCTAGTAAACAGAAAGAAGAACACAAACACATCTCTAAATACCAGTTTAATCAAGTCAAACCAGCAAGATATGTTGTATGTCATGCTACAGATATTTTTCCTTTGATCTGTTCAGGAAGACCTTAGTCCAGTACCTCAGTCCATATACCTACTCATTCTGAAAACTGCAATGACATTCAAGATGCGGTGGGCACTTTCCAAAAAAAAGGAAGATGCAAACCCAATAGTGTTAATAATTAGTATGATTAAAAATAGTAATCACACCTAGAATGTCTGTCTAAAGCAATTATAATTTAGGATTTCAGGAGTTTGGAACAAAAAATTTCCTGTTTAGCATTTCACTGGATGGGGAGCAGGCGAGGAAGAGATCACTGAGGCTCCTATCTCCGTCCTAGCAGGCAGGTGGCAAGAGCCCTGAAACGTATTTTAAAAACAAAACTGCAAACTCGTGCTGATCGCAGCACAACACAGTCCTTACAGAGCTACACTGGTGTACAGAATTTGGTCCGCTGTTCACCCATTATACAGCTGCTCATCCGTGGGAGGGGACAGGCATTGGATTAAGAGGGAGATTTACAGCTCAGGACTCTGGTACCTCTGGTCAGGAACTGGGAAATCAGTCATACTTTCATTTCATACTAGAAATATTTTAATTTATAGTATGTGTTATCAGATCCAGACAGTGTTAAACTATGTCTTAAAGGCTGCTCGTTTTACCAAGTTAGTATTTCATGTCTGCGTACGTCTCGTCCAAACCCTGACGCGAATGCATTTATTGCAGATAAAATAGTTCAAACTGCTTTAGTGTGGCACAGATTACTGTGAAAATGCTGAAGCAGACCAAAGAGCAGTTTATTTAATTTAATTAGCAGTCTGGCACTTAGTGGTTCATTTTTGTGTCCTGAACCATTTTTAGTCACTGATGGTCTGTCAATCACAGTAGGAAATGCAAGGGCTGGGTATCAGAGTTACCAGGCTGTGGTATGCCCTGGGTGCCCATGGGAGGCTGGCTTCTGCTTTGATTGACTCCAAGGGGAAGGAATGCCCGAGTTCAAAATGAGAACCAAGAGGAGAGATACCTCTTAATGTTTCAACTCCGCAAACCTGTATGACCACGCTAGCTGTAAAGTGCAAAGAAGTTTCATATTCCAAAAAAAGAAGCTGCCTGGAGGTACCAGAGGCTGGCGGAGGAGATGCTTAAAATTAAAAACAGCAAAGCTGTTTTTTTCCACTCCTGAATGAAATAATGTGTTAAGTACTGCAAGGCTGAAAATGCCCCGTCTCCTGGGAACTTAGGAAGTGCAGATGGAAGGTTTCACAATATCTAAACTAATGCTCAGTGAAAAAGCATTATGAAGTGAATACCCAGTTGTCTATAAACTACATGGCCCTACAGACATTTGCCAGCCCCACTGAAATGGCAGCATCACCTTGCATAAATAAAATAACAGGAAATAGATAAATAGAATAAAGGGAAAGGTGCTTATTTCTTAGCAAATGGATTCTTAATTTGCTCAATGTGTGATTACAGCTGTCAGAACGGTTGTTGTTACTAAAAACAGTGGGCTGTTTTCCTGTGGTTGCCCAACCTGGGGCATGATCTGCAAGACCATGATTTGAACAGAAGGATGGGATTATTCATCTTCATTTAATGCATATCAGTCAGATGGTAAACTACAATAACCCAGCTCGCTGTTGGAAGGTTCTCTGTTTCCGCTCCATAACGTTACCGATTCACCCCCTGGTTTTACCAGTGGGAGTCATGATATTTTGATGACATTTCCTAGGAGCAGCTTCTCTTCTGAGATCATGAGATAAGAATAGGTATAAATTGTCCATTTAGTTGATAACACCATTTGACTTTTAAAATAATCCAGGCTGGGTCACATCAGGAAATAGATACATTTTAGCCGCTCTTTCCTAAGCAACATTTTCTGCCACTCTTTTCTCAAAAATCTTTACTTTAAGGTATCTGTTATAAGCCCCAATCATGTTATGGCTACTGGCTTTCTGCCACAGATAAAAAAAAAATCAGATTGATGCAGTTGTGTGGGTATCATTCTGGAGGGAGTTTGCTAAAGCCGGGAGCTAGCGGTCTGTCCGGCGTTAGAACCGGCTTAGCCCGCTCCGACCCGTGAGACCCCGCTGCAGACCGGGCTGGGGTGGCTGGGCAAAACCCAGCAGGGGCTGGAGGGTCAAAAAGCCTTCCTGCCTTTTCCCACAGATCCTCATTGCAACCGAGAGGCATATTCCTAGGACTAAGGCATTACATTTGCAGTTTGTAGCACCCATGGGTAAATTTTGTCGGTAAAATCACATTTTAAACACTCGTGGCTTAAGTTGGCTCAGGACAGGCTTTCCTTCCTAACTACCTGTGATTAAGTGAAGTGAGAACTGGTGTCACTGGGGGAGGGAGAGCGGTCCAGTGGTTCGGGTGTTATTGTAGGATTTGGGTGATTTACACTTAAATCCTTATTCTGGCACTCTCTGCTTGACCTTGACCAAATAGAAGCAGACCCAGATGCCTAAAGACACTTTGGTGCCTAGTATTCATTTGTTTAAAGTCCAATGAAATCAGGGAGCATTAGACTAAAATGCAGAACTTCAAAAGCTTTCTAGGTAGCTTTGTTTTTTCACTTTCCATCTTTAAAATGGAGATGAAAGCATTTCCCTTTCCCGTGGGAGTGGTGTAATGATGCATACATTGAAGGCATAAGTGCTCAGAAACCACGATAATGTCTATACTCTTGTCCCACCCCTTTTAAGTTTTGCCGTTTACCAACTCCATGTTTATTTATCAGTCACTATTATATGCATCATAATTTACTTCTCACAGGCTAATATTAACATCCCAATGGGAGCATTTCGACCTGGTGCAGGCCACCCTCATAAAAGAAAAGAACTTACACCTGAAGAAGTGGAAGAGGTAAGAGAAAAAGGGGGGTTTTGATTTTTTTTTCCAGGAGAATCCCTGCCATTGAAGGAAGAAGGCCTTTTAATCTATCTTATAGCACTACGTACCAATCTTAGGTATCACAGCTGAACATGCGCTGATCATTCACGGAAATAACTGGCCACCTACTAACCACATTGTTCAGTACAAATGCATTGTTCTGGTTTTGATGCCAAGGCACCTATAGGAATTTAAACTGTTTCAGAGGTGCATAGCTCTGCTTCAACAGCAGGATGATACCTGCTGTCAGGAAAGAGAGCCAGGATTTCACCAGCACTATTTATCTAGATGGGAGTTGATGGAATCCATCAGAAAAAGTTATAGCAAGGCTTTGGAAGAATATGCTGCTACCTGCTGCCCTGCAGTGGGATTTATTTTTACAGCTTAACAATATTGGAACAGGTTTTCAAACCTGACGTTTTTTGGAATATTTATTAACAAGGAGAAATTGAATGTCGACACTATACATTTGCAAATTAAAAACAGGAATTGTGAACCCATTTACCTGCATAGGGGTGAAAATACTCAATTTTAAACTGAATTCTGTGTTTGCATGCCTGTATTTTACAGGGAGCATTTAACACTGAGTTTTGAATATGAAGTCCAATTTATACCTTAACCAACACTGATCACAAAGGTTATGATTAAACACAGGTATCGTATTTCTGGATGATATTAAAGCATCTTATTTACCATGAACTTCTATAATAAATAAGAACTAAAAACCAATGGTGGAGGAAAAGGTAGTGGGATACTCCAAACAAGAAAAAACCTCAAGTAAAGATGGGTGCTTATGGCTTCCTGGGCAGCTGGCTAAGTTTGGTCTTATAGTCCCCACCCGAGAACTGGTCCTGCTGGGCCAGAGCTGTGGATGCTCCCCAGAGCCAAGGGCAGGAAGGGCTCAAATCGACCCCATACAGCCGGGCTGCCTCTGGCAGGACTCGGCTGGGTGGACTTGCTGCCATGCGGGCGAAGCAAAGCTGTCGTGGCTGGAGGGAGTCTTGCCCTCACGCAGAGCAGAGCTGTGAGGACCAGGAGGGAGGTGGATAGCCACTTCTCTCCAGGCATGCGGTGTCACGGCTGGTGATTCAGCCCCAAACAAGAAGCAGCCAGATCAGTTTTGGACAAATCATCAGCTCCTTCTGACCTGGTAGAGGCACTTTAAATGGTCGGGTTTAGTTACGTAAGAGCTAATTCTTCCTTTCCTGTCTAAATCAGACAGATTTTTTTCTGAATGTCGACATATTTGATATAAATAGTGCTCTGTTTACAGAGAACTTTCCTGAAGAAATCCAACCCAGGCTGACTTAACTCTTCTTAGGAAGATTTAAAAAAAAACCAAACATACAAAGTGACCTTGAACACATATTGTGGCTTTCTCCCCTGGAAAGAAATCAAAGCATATTCTCTCCACAGTAATTAAACTGGTGAAAGAGTACATGTTGTTAAGCAGAAACTAATATAGTATGGGTGGATTCCGCTAGTATTTGAGAAATAAAACAAATGACTAGTGCTGATAATTAGATTTGGTTGGGTAATTGAAAATTGCTTTGCTTCTCAGTTACGCGAATACTATAAGACAGACATTACAGAATGAAAGTTCTTGGCCCCGGTTTTATAGCCAAATGCAACCAAAGCAATGGGAGTAAAGACGACAGAAACAGATCTTATAATAGGAATAGAATAAAAACGCTACCAGTGGACTTACCTTTTCAGCTTTCTCATCTCATTAAGTTTTGCAAAACAGCTTGTGATTCTTTAGATCAGCTTTAGACAAATACAACTTCTGCTAACATTTCTTAGCATTTTTCACTATATTTTAAAACCTTGGCAAAGGAGATGAGGGAAATACAGGTCTTACTCAAAGGGATGGTGGAGTCAGAAGGGAACACGTATTTTTGAAGGTCAATGGAGCAGACATGTTAACATACAAAAGAAACGGGGGGCGGGAATTTCAGAAAATAACTCTTCTTCAGTCAGAGCATTTCCATGCAGGTATTTGTTAACTCTTGTCGTATATCTAAGTCACTCTTCAGACTTCCTTCAATAAAACTGAAGGCCAAGGTCTGATCTCAGCCGTGCATTGCACACAGAGTGGGTGATATAGGAGGGGGTGCAGTCATAAATAGCACACACCTGAGATTAGAAGGGAAAGCTAACATCAATTTATGGAGCGCAAAGTCTCCAAAACGTGGTCAAAGTTTGCACCGTTTGTACTATGAGAAGGAATGGTATTGTAGATGACTTGAAACAGTATTTTTAACACAGTATCTGCTATGGGGGTTTGGCGGATGGTAGTTTTTCCCGATTATTCAGGTTAACTAGCTGTGCAAGAAAACTCTCAAAGGAAACAATACAAGCTCATGGCTTAAAGATCAGATAGGAAGAAAATGTCAGTTTTCTAAAATTCCTTGTCTATTTGCCACCTGATGTTGCAAAAAGTCTGTTTCCTCTTTAGCATGCGGTCCATTAGTCAATAGAAAAAACAGGGCTTTACTGGCCAATAATATTTGACAGATAACTTTGTAATTTTAAAAATGAAGTCAAATATTAAGAATTGAATGTTCAAGGCCAATACAGCTTTCCAAAAAGGGTGGCTAATGAATCTAAATACTGGAAAAGCCCATCCCAAGAGGACATTCACAGAGTAATCAAAAAAGAAAAAATAATTTAATTGAAAAATTATTTGCAGTAAAATATTAATTCATCTCAAAACCTCCATGATTCCCCCTCTATGCCAGCTTTATAAAATACAGAACAGGCTAGATGAACCTTAAACTCCCTACTGGAAAACTACTCCTTCAAAACATTGCTCAATCTAGAATAGAAATTGTCTAAAATACGTGCTCTACCTCACCTAGGAGCAATAGTACAACCAAGGAAGTACCAAGGGCTGAAATACTGTGGTCCATCGGGAAATTAGCTGAGATGCTCGCTATTGTGTAAGTGCTGTTATTTAGCCTGAATTTTTACAGTGTTGGCAAAATAGCTGTCAGCCACTACCTTAATTCAAACATAAAATGACAAAACCCCTTCTGGTCTTACAACTGAGGTTGAGAAAAATTAAACATCAGCTCGAACTGAGCTTGGATGGAGCTTTTGGGGTCCATAACCTACTATCATAGCTCTTCTCCACAGCTGCAGAAGTGCATGATGGTTTTCCTCCCCAGCTGGCTGGCAGCTATGAGACTCTGAAAGAAATTAGATGATAAAAATGGTTCTTCCGCTTTTTTTGCCTAAAATATGAAGGATCTGGGAGTTGCCTTTAATGCTCCACTCAGTTAATTTTCCGCTAATGGTCTGACACTGTAAATGCTTACTCATTTACCAAAAGATCCACATTCCTTTGCACTAAGCAACTTCAGGGTTTTTTTTCAGAATGTTTTTAGACATTTTAGACAACAACCAGCAAAATAACCTATCTCTTCCTGCCCTTCCTCCCCAGTTTCCATTGGGATTGCATTTAGTATAAAAACATCCTTTCCTGTTTCTCAAATAACTCACCTATGCTTATGCTCCAGAAATTGCTATTGAGGCAGTAAGGGCACTGGTATCCTTTTGTGCAGAGTGTTCCTGCTTCGACAGAGGAGGAGAAAGACAAGAAACATCTCCCAGGAGCTAAGAAACTTCCAGGTCCTGCTGTCAACTTGACAGAGATTCAGAACATAAAGAGCGAGCTGAAATTTGTCCCCAAAGCTGAACAGTAGCCGGAACAAGCAGGTGAGTAAAAGAGAGGTTCTTTGCATGGCTCTAGGAGAAGCACGCTGATCCAGAAACCTCCTCGTGTCAAAAGATAACTTTCCAATTACTTCAAAGGGCCCGGAATCACACCCCGTATTTCAAAAACAAAATATAAGAAGAAAAGGTCATAATCCTTGGAATTCTCTGTTATTTCAAACATGGAGCAAGTAGGGGACTATATCTGATCATCTACGGCACCCATCAACTGGCCTAACAAAAAGTGTATTCAGCTGTTAGGAATATTGAAGTCAGCTCAAAAATACCAGCTTCTTGCTTTGCAAGCACAAGTTCCAGTTTTACAGAATATAGGACTTGTATTTGTACACACTAACTACAAATAAATGTATTACAATGCAAATAAATTTATTGCAGTGATGGACAAGTAGGTCAGTAATTTTAAAAAGCTCCTTTGGAACATTAGATATTTGATATTACTTTATTTCTGTAATTCAAAACTGACATGCTAATGGCTCCATGTATTTGATCACACAAATGTACCCAATGCCACTTGTGGCACCCAAAGACTTGCTATATAACTGCGCGGGGCTCAGAAATATGATATAGGACCTTGGGGAGATCCGTGCTCCTCTGGAGTGGCAGCTGGAGAGCAGGCAGGGACCCCCAGGCACTGCAGACAGCACCAGACACTTATGGGTTGAGCCATTGGTCTATGATTAGCATCACAGCTCATACTTCATCTTATTTTCTCAATGTCCGGATGGAGATCAGCAAAAAGTGGCATCCCTCAGGGGTCCGTATTGGGACCAGTACTGTTTAATATCTTCATCAATGACATAGTGGGATGGAGCGCACCCTCAGCAAGTTTGCAGATGACACCAAGCTGAGTGGTGCGGTCGACACGCCAGAGGGACGGGATGCCATCCAGAGGGACCTGGACAAGCTCGAGAAGTGGGCCCGTGTGAACCTCATGAGGTTTAGCAAGGCCAAGTGCAAGGTCCTGCACCTGGGTTGGGGCAACCCCCGGAATCAATACAGGCTGGGGGATGAGGGGCTTGAGAGCAGCCCTGCCGAGAAGGACTGGGGGGTACTGGTGGATGAAAAGCTGGACATGAGCCAGCAATGTGCGCTCGCAGCCCAGAAGGCCAATCGTACCCTGGGCTGCATGAAAAGAAGCGTGGCCAGCAGGTCAAGGGAGGTGATTCTGCCCCTCTCCTCTGCTCTGCTGAGACCCCACCTGGAGTACTGCGTCCAGCTCTGGAGCCCTCAGCCTAAGAAAGACACGGACCTGTTGGAGCGGGTCCAGAAGAGGGCCACAAAAATGATCAGGGGGATGGAACACCTCTCCTCTGAAGAAAGGCTGAGAGAGTTGGGGTTGTTCAGCCTAGAGAAGAGAAGGCTTCGGGAAGACCTTATTGCAGCCTATCAGTACTTAAAGGGGGCTTATAAGAAAGATGGGGAAAGGCTTTTTAGTAGGGCCTGTTGTGATAGGACAAGGGGGAATGGCTTTAAACTGAAAGAGGGTAGATTCAGACTAGATTTAAGGAAGAATTTTTTTACGCTGAGGATGGTGAAGCACTGCCACAGGTTGCCCAGAGAGGTGGTGGATGGCCCATCCCTGGAAACGTTCAAGGTCAGGTTGGGCGGGGCTCTGAGCAACCTGATCTAGTTGAAGATGTCCCTGCCCATGGCAGGGGGGTTGGACTAGATGACCTTTAGAGGTCCCTTCCAACCCAAACTATTCTATGATTCTATGATTATTTTATTTAAAAGGAAATATTCAGCACTTCAATGCAGATTTCAGAATAATTTCTATTTTATTTCAAACAAGGCCCATAAGCCTCCATTATTCTACTTTCTGAGCTTTAAAGAAATGAATCATGATTTCCGTCCTTGAAACTATCCTCTGATTTTCTTTGAAAAGCCTGAGTCAATAAAGATGCATCAGGCAGTTACAATGAAAATTCAGCTGTACAGAGAAGTTTCAATACAAAAAACCCTGGCTTCAGTAAGAAAAAGATAGTTGTGTCACAGAGTAATCATCTGAATTGCCAGTTGTGCCTATTGACACAAGTCCTTTTTATCATGAAGAGAGGCAGAGGAGCTAAGCTGAGTAGAAGAACATCATCTGGAATTTACTGCACCAAAACATAAATGAAGAACAGAAGAAAACAGAAAGCAGTGCAAAAGGGTTCTGGGAACGCAGGAGCACTATGGAACAGCAATCTTGAAAGAAATGGTGTATAATCTGAGTGAATTGCCCCAAAACTCACTGCAACATATTAACTTATTTTTATGTACAGCATAAATATGCCATTTAGAAGAAAAAAGTGTTTAGTTTTTTCTTGCTTTTACTCTGCTGTGTCATAATGTTCCTGTCATTTTAAAGAAACAATGGAGTCTTTCTCTTCAGAAAACTTGGAAAAAGAAAATTAACATTTTGTAAAATGTAACATCCTAGTCATTGCACTAAAGCAGTGCCCAGAGAAATATGAATTTTTAATGTGAGGTTTTAAAGAGGTTTTTCTCTGTAAGAGATATTTAGACATAAATTTAACCCCATATTTATTCTCAGATGATTGCAATTTTCAATGTTTAAAACAGTTTTTAAATAATTAGCTTACTGAGAGTCTGACAGAAACATTTAGGGTGTGCACAGAGATTCACTCTAAAGAAAAGATTTCTACAGAAAGGTCAGCAAAGTGAAGGTTGTCTTGAAAGCTGTGAGGTCATTATGAAATAATTTCTGTCCCCATCCTTCTTTTGATGTGTCGTAGCTTAACCTCAGCCGGCAACTGAGCACCACACAGCCACT